CCAGTTGATGGGATTTCCAATTGCCAAATTGGTATTATTGGATATGTCTGAATCGGCTTTGTATGATTTGCAACAAGAATTTAGACAAGCCTCCCAAACTTTGGAATGGATTGTCGCCGATGTACGATCGCCATGGCGGATGAAGGAAGTCTTTGAAAAATACAAACCTCAATTGGTTTTTCATGCAGCGGCGTACAAACACGTGCCACTAATGGAGTCCCATCCATGGGAATCGGTTATCACCAATGTTTACGGTACCAAAGTGGTGGCCGATTTGGCCACCCAACATAAGGTTGAAAAATTCATTATGGTGTCCACCGACAAAGCGGTTAATCCGACCAATGTGATGGGAGCCACCAAGCGTTTGGCCGAAATGTATGTGGGCTGTTGTCAGAAACTAAATGACACTAGATTTATTGTTACCCGTTTTGGTAATGTATTGGGCTCTAATGGATCGGTTGTACCGTTATTCACTAAACAAATAAAACAAGGAGGCCCCGTTACACTAACCCACCCCGATATTACCCGATATTTTATGGCCATATCCGAGGCAGCTCAATTGGTGTTAGAGGCTGGTGCCATGGGGCAGGGGGGGGATATTTTTATTTTTGATATGGGCAGCCCCATTAAAATTATCGATTTGGCAAAAAAAATGATACGACTATTGGGGCATCGATATCCACAAGATGTCGACATTAAGATAATAGGACTTCGGCCTGGTGAAAAAATATACGAAGAATTATTGGCCGATGGTGAAAATACAATAGAAACCTACCATCCTAAAATTCGATTGGCCGAACAACACGGATTAATGGATTGTGAATCCACCATGAAAATTATAGAAGACATCTTTGAATTGGCACATGGTTCTACTCAGAGCCATCACCAATTGGTGGCGGCCATCAAAAGCATAATCCCCGAATATGTTTCGAATAATAGTGTATATCAAAAATTGGATGTTTAAATTTGCCCCAATGTATATAAAAAACCATGTTTTGAAAATTCAATATAATATACTGTTTTGTATGGTGGTGTTGGGGTTGTTTTCCTGCGTATCGCCCAAAAGAATCGTCTACATGCAGGATGTTCAGTCCGATACCACCGTTCAGTCCAAAGCCCA